GTGCAAAAATGCGTACCGTTTTGGTACGCAGTTGTGGGAGGAGAGATGGGCACGCTTGTGGGAACACACCCAGCGTGTGCATGCGTTTCCCTGGGGACACACAGAAGCGTCATATATTGTGCCACTGCTCCTTGTCCCCAGGCATGCCCCTGTACGCGCACTGTGGTGAACGGCAAATTGCACCAAGGGGGGTAGGGGAACCTGGAGCCAGCATCTGCGCTGGCCCTAGTAGCCTTGCCTGGGGTCCCCTTGGGACTGCAGCAGCAGTGATGCAGGTGCACAGAGCCTGGCTGGCAGCTGGAGTGTGGCTCTGGCCGGCCAGGCTCCAGTTCTGGGCAGCCTATGCTGCAGCCACATGCTCCCCACCCCTTGTGCTGCAAACATGGATTTGCAGCGCCTCAGGAGGGTTTGTGGTGCTGCAAACTGCATGTTCCTGTTCCTGGGGATGCAGCCATTATGGGTTTCAAGTTAAATTTGGCCCTAGTGTGGAGAACTTACTTTCCACCACATCAAAATTGCACATGATCTACCTTCCTTCTTTGCTTGAGATTGAAAGATGACTCGTTAGTTCATCATACAAAAAGACTCACGCCTGCTTCCCTCAAATACTAAAGTCATGTTGATTCAAAGCATAGGGGCTGTCTAAATTGCTTTTAATTTCAACCCGGATTTTCATCTAAATAGATTTGTGTACACATCTTCTCTTACAGTTAGGCTCACACACTGTATTGTAGCAGGGACCAACCTTTTTGCCAACCGTGTCATAAATTAGTTCCACATCCTTCCTGAGAGTCACTTGACTCCCTTTCTCCTGCCTTACTTTCTGCTTCCTGCTTGGATCTGCTGCTCTGTTGTTCTGTTCCCTGCCCCATCTGCCACTTTGCTGCCTGTCCCCTCCCTAGTCTACCACACGCCACACACACAGGCTACCGGTCCATGGGTTGAACAAACAAGAACTTGTAAAAGAGCTGGGCTGTTTGCTTGCATACAGTACCTATACTTCTACTTACCTACTGTCTGTCAAGGGCTTTTAATATTCAGACGTGGAATGGAAGTTCTTCCCTACCCTGCATCCACAGGTATCACCCCTGTTGTTACCGATGCCGAAACGGAGGCTGTGCAGGCCAAGTCTTTGGCTAAGGTGGTGTTAAAAGTCAGCGAAGTAGGGCTGGAAGGGCCCTCCATAGGCCATCTAGTCCAGCCCCCTGCCTCAGGCAAGATCATCAATACCCAAACCATCCTATGCAATGTATAACCTACATGCTACATAAGACAACCATCAATCCTGATGCAAGACAGACCTGACACCCTAACCTGCCAGGGGTAAAGCAGGGGAACCCCAGCAGCCAGTGCCTTGCTTC